GGCAATGAATGTACAAATGTGCTTTACACAATTGATGTGTGTATGGATTGTGATAAGAGTTGTATGAGCCCCTAATAAAATGATTTTTTTAAAGTGTCCTGAAAACATAAAGCAGGAGGCACACCTAAAACCTCCTTCCAACCAAAAGAGAGGAAGCCAATAACATCGCTCCCTCCACCGCCCTGCCCCTACTCCCTGCCACTCTCCTGCTTCCTCTACCCCATCCCTTAGTGCAGGCAGAATCCTATTACAGTTGTAACCACCCCCTTTGGGCCTGTATGTAGTGTGGCTACCCCTCTTTAGAAATCACCCAGATCTCTGTAGTTCACAAAGTTCACCTCTGATTCAGTAGACCAAATAGCCAGAAACTTGTCCTATTCATCAAAAGCAAAGGCCCTTGCAGTCAGACCTGGAACATGTGGACATAGCAGAAGAGGAGGGCCTTAACCTTGACGCAGCGACACTATCACATTTCGGAGTGAACTTTGATACTTGGAGGAATGCTTGTACTGTGATGGTGGGAGGAGGGAGTTTGGGAAAACTGGAATGTCCCTAAGCCAAACTAATAAACTCACTACCCTTGAATTAATTCTGATTCATAGCAACCCTATAGACAGAGTAGAACTACCCCTTTGGGAAGTAAATCTTCATGGGAGCAGAAAGCTTCATCTCTCTTCCACATATAACCCACTATTGCACAAAGGCCGCTTTAGGTCAAATTATTAGCCCTTCCCAACTCACTTTTTACCAAAGTACTTTGGGTACACCTTTATTCTAGCACTTGGCACAACGTCACAAGATCCTTTACTGTGTTTAGATAGGCCCCCTGGCTCCCTGTGGAGCTGAACTCTGCTGACTTGTGTGTCTCCTCAGCAAAACTCTAAGGGACTCTGTGGGAGAGATCATCCCCTATATCCCAGCTCCGTGTTCAAAGTGCTCCCCACACTGAAAACATGCTGCCCTCAAGTGATTCACAGTCATCCTACAGGACAAGGTAGAACTATTGTGGTGGGTTTCTGAGATTGTTACTCTTTATGAGAGTAAAGAACTTCCTCTCTCTACGATAAGTCATGGGGGCTTCGATTGTTCCCCAGAATGTAATATAACTGAAGGAATTAACCAAAAGCTGGTATTGCTTTTTCCAAAGAGCTATCAAACTGATCTTGACCAGGAATAGTAAAATTGTCTCCAATAGCCAAAGAAGTGATTTAAACAAATAAAATGGACTATGGTGAGCAATCTGCATTTGTCTGAAGCTTCCTGTCTCCACACTTCTTCAGGGAAACCGTATAGCCATAGCCTTCTGAATTCCAGGAATGCCTGGGAACCCTCGTGTCCATATGGAATATAGACAACTCAATCAGAATTACTCCAAGAAGTTGTAAGCATTAAGTGAATCAAACAAAAATCTGCCGCGAGACCAGGTACGTTCAATAAACTACCCGGCCTGTGGTCTGAGCCAGACCTTCCTACATCCTCACCAACCCCATCTCCACATGACCTATTTTACACCAGAATAACTGAAATGTACATCAATGAAGGGTCTCCTAGCCTAACGGTTGTACTATTTCCTCATCTAACCTATAAATGTAAAATTAAATAAATAAATGAATTAATTTTCCAAGTCGGTATACTCTTTCTCCCAATACCATTCCAATCTAATCCTTTCAGAATGATTGTCCCCCTTCTCCTTTAGTGACAAGTTACCGATTCCCAGTGGATTCAACAAGCAGAATAGACCCCGGTGTCTAAATTTCATCTCTACGGCTACCCTTCTCCATTTGTTCTCTTCCTTTGTGATTGATCAGGCACCAGAGAAAATGGCAGAGAGAGGGGGGCCTTACCTCTGTGGTGGCGAGGTCACACACTTTGACCTCATCCTGCCGGGTGGGATTTCCATCCTCATCCAAGAAGCATCACCCTTCTTCCCCCACTGCAATTTGTGGTGCACATAGGGATTAAGCACCCCCAAAGAAGAGACGAATTTTGTTCTCTGGTTGTGTAGACCAAGGCGATCAAAGGGAAATCACTTTCACCTGCGGAAAAAAACATTGAAATTGTTAACTCCAAGGAGAAAACACATCCACAATGCCCTGCCTCAGACTCCATGCTCTGAGCCCTGTACTAATCACAACCCTGTCGTAGAGCCCAATCTGTTTCTGATTTGCTCCCTGTAAAACCATCCTCCTGTTGGACACGTGGACAGGCAGCCATCACAAAGCCACAGGACCTAATTCCCAACCTCTCTTAGAACTTGATCGAAGCCATGAACCTAGAGGCCAATGAAACAGCCAAAGGTAAAACTACCCATTTCTGTCAAGTCCTTTCCTACTCATAGTGACCTCGTGTGTGCCAGGGTTTAACTGTGCTCCTAAGGATGTTCAAAGGTAGATCTCCAGGCATTTCTTCTGAGGCACCTCTGGCTAGCCTGGAACCTCCAACTTTCAGGTTAACAGCAGAATGTATTGGCCATAGGCACCACCCAGAGACTCTAAAGTTAAAACTAGACACTAGCATTAGGGCTTCAATCATACAACTCTCACACTATTGTCTTTCTAGTTAATTCGCCCAAGATAGGAACATCTAAATGAATGCATTTCAATAACCATTTCAGAGACCCAATTCTGTCTGTTGCTGCCCTCCTAGAATTAACATCCCTGAACTAAATTGAAATCGATATGTTTCTAAGATAGGCCAAGTTCAATTTTGCTTTATTTACTCGCTTTTATATTTAATAGATCAGAAACAACTAAACTGGATAACACAGAGTCCTCTGGTTAATGCAAGTACCTTGTGTGCATGTCTGGGGTGTGGGAAGTATTTTAAGTTCAATGTAAAATAAATAAAAAGATAAAATTCAGTTACTCTGTCTGAATAAATTAAGAAAAGTTAAAAAAGAAAGAAAGAAAAAACAAAGTCAATTTCTAAGCAAGTGTGCCTTGCCTCATGTTGATACACACCCATAGATTTGTACTAGCATCTAAGCATCATCCACTGATGTGCATGTTTTCCAATCAGCTTCAAGGCCCAAGAGAGGGGAGCAAAGGGGAGAAGAAAAGACTAGTCTGAGTTCAGAAAGGATATAAAAGGCTTGAAAAGCGTGCCTCTGGCAATGCCAGTTGCGAACAAGCACTCATTAGAGCCAGACATGCTGTTAAGCACTGGGCTTACAAGCAAGCTACAGCTCCTGGCCCCCAGGAGCTCACAGACTTAAAAAAAATAATAATAATTACCAAGTAATGGTGATCTAACACCTTCAACAGGGTAATGGAGAGAAAGAAACATAAGTTCTGAGCTGGGCCCAAGGATGAGCAGGGCAACGTCAGCACACGTGGCTCTGTGGAGGGTGGACTTCTATCCCTAGTCGAGGCGAAGGATCCAGAGGTGAAGCACAACTCCACCCGGACTGAACTTCTGAGATAACACTCCTGGCAGGGGAAGTAGACATACTGCAACAGGGGTCACGTCCTCGGTCACAGCCTCCCGGGGCAACACATCACTGGATCTGCCTCATATCCTTGCGTTCAATGAAACACAGAAATGCTGCTACACTTCATTCACAGAACAGCTCGTGCACACGCTACACTCATCCCTGCCCATTAGGTGCCATTCAAACGTAGCACAGGCTCAGGGGAGGGAAGAGAAATATGGTTGGGAGATAATTAATCAACTGCAAATAACTGCTTTCATAATGAATGAAGAAAAAAATGAAGTGTTTCGGCTACGCAGCATTTCTAAGAAACCCCACCCCCTTCCTAGCAGTAAGTTGTACTGACTCATCAAAGAAAGGACAGAGACAGACTCGGACAGTAACTAAATCTTTAAAAAAAAAAAACAACCAAAAACAGAAACTAGACCCTGGAATCTCCTGCACTCTGAGCCAATATTTGATGAACAAACAACATTCCAGCCTGTTGTTTTCATAATTCCCATGCCTTGCCCCATTCTCGACCCCTGTGGCTCTCATCCAAAAGAACTGGATCAATGAAAGAGAGGCAACAGCTGTCAGTACCCCTCAGTGCACATCTATGTCAGTTCTCCCGCTCTTAAGGTATGCCCATTCTAGATGACTGGGAACCCAAATAACTAGCAGTTATAGAGCCCCTCTGTCCTAAAAGTTTTAAACACACTATCTGTATCCTCCACCACTGCAAGTGCCAAGAATCCCAGTTTGGGAGGAGTTCATTTTACCTGTGCATTCAGAAGTGCATCTATGAGCAATGACACCAAAAGCAATTCGTTTTAAATTGCTGAATGATCTCACAGCTGGTGACGAGAACTGCAATGGCAAATAAAGACTGCTCGGTGGTTCCCCCGCCCTTCAAGTGGTGCCCAGAACACACACCAGACCTTAGATATGCCTCTGTCTGGATCCTTCCACCAACTCGTGCTCCTGTGGCACCCACATCGAGACCAAGCGGCAGTGGTTGGGAGAGATCAAGCAGACACTGCATGGTGTAAACTCAGGAAAGGTATACTCCCGGGTTGCATCTTTGCACCATACTTACTCAATTTGTATACTGAACAAATATTCTGAGAGTCTGTACTATATGAAAAAACAATGCTGTGTCAGGATTGAAGGGAAGTTCATTAACAACCGGTGAAAGGCTGATGGTACAAGCTTGCTTGCTGAAAGCAAAGAGGACTTGGAGCCCTGACTGATGGAGGTCAAAAACTGCAGACTTCAGGATGGACTGCAACTCAGTATAAAGAAAACAAACTTCCTCTCAACTAGGGCAACAAACACCATGATAAATGGAGAAAAGATTGAAGTTGTCAAGGATTTCATCTTGCTTGGGTCTACAATCAATGCCCATGAAAACAGCAGTCAAGAAGTAAAATCATGCACTTCATTTAAATGATGTAGATTTACTGCATTGGGCAAATTTGCTCCAAAAGACGTCTTTAGTGGTAAAGAATAAGGATGCCACTTTGAGGACTAGGGTGGCACCTGATCCAAGCCAGGGTATTTTCAATCACCTCATAGTCATGTGAAAGTTGGGCATTGAATGTGAAAGACTGGAGAAGACTCAATCAATGCATTTGAATGATGGTGCTTACAAAGACTCCTGAAATAACAAACATAATCTGTTTTGGAAGAAGTACGGTCAGCATGTTCCTTAGACATGAGGATGGCAAGACTTTCTCTCACATTCTTTGGACATGTCATCAGGAGGAGAGCCCAGTCCCTGGAAAAGGACATCATGCTTGGAAAGTAAGAGGCGGCACAAAAGAGCAAGACCCTCGAGATCGAATGGCTTGGTGGATGGCGCTAGACCAGGCAAACATTGCAAACAGGGTAATGTTTACCTAGGGGTGCCACGAGCTGCACTGGATAATAATAGCACTCTTTTCAGAAGTAAGTGGACACATCTTTATCCTGTGGCTCAGCCAGTGGGTTCAAAGTGCCAAACTTTTGGCTAGCAGCCAAGCATGCTCACAACTGTGTCTTTAGGAGTCCTATGGCTCTATTAGGGTAGAAATTCACCCTCTACTCAGGAAACTATTTTTCCCAAGCACCTCACTTAACAAAGATCACAAGGAAAATGCAAACTCAACTCTGCCTGATTGCAGCTAGTATCAAAATTCAGCATCCACTCTTAGCTGTTGGAGAAGGGCAAGAAAGGATCAGGAAAGGTAGGCAGATGGTGGCCCCAAAACAGGCTTTGAGGATGAAAAAGAAAATATGTAGATCCCAAAGATTCACTCCTTCCTTTTGAACAAGCCCACTGAACATTTCCATTTTTATAGATTGTAACCTCCCTACTCATGCTGACCTGTTCAAAACAAGGAAATAATGTTTTATGATTTAATAATTAAGCAGGATTCCAACTTTGCTGGGCAATTCAGAGGAATTCTGGCAAAACCCATCAAGCTCACTCAGTATTGTTCCCCTCTGTAGAATTCCTCTCTTCCCAACGAAACGCAGCGTAGTTTGCATCATCCTTGCACTTTCCCCTAGCCTGGCCAGAGGGAAATGACAGCTGCTCTTATTGGGAGAGAAAAGATAAAGATTTGATGACATCCCAAACTCTCTCATCATCAAGAAACCTGGCATCTAATCTTGGAACACCACCATAGCAAAAGCCAATGGACTGCTCACCGGACGCTGGATTGCTAATGACTCCCAGCCCTTCCAGGACTCAGAATCACAGGAACAAGAGTGCCTTCCAAAAATGAGTATAAAACCAGGGCCTACCCAAACAAAGAAGACACGTGGTGTGACTCTGCAGCAGGGAGCAGGTACCGCAATGGGCGCACGCAGCACACCATCCTCTGTATACCTGCCCATCTTCTTCTTTGGACATGTGGGCATGTTGGAGCCCTCCTTAAGATGGAAAAAGCCTCCAGTTATGAAAAGTTTCTTAATAACATTCTGATCATCCCAACGCCTAGCATCCCTGTCACTTAGGGGTGCTTAACACATTGTTTTATAGAACAAAATTAGCGGCCCCAAGCCAACAAGGGTAAAGGGTAGTTTAATTAAGAAAATCAGTGTGCGTGATGAAAGGCAGTGTGTCAGCAATGAAACCAGAGGGGGTGGAGGAGTGTCAAAGACCGAAGCTGATTGCCAAGACCCATTTCTGCACGGCCGACAGGAGAAGAGCCTTCTCCTGACAACTCAGCAGAGTTTCCATCATTACTACCAGGTGCCCTTGAGTCAATCCCTGTCCACGGCACTTCCATGTGTCCCAGCAGATCCATGCACCATATGGTTTTCAATAATGACTTTTGGGGGGGAGGGGTGGGCGCGGTTAGGTCACCAGGTTTTTCAGTCTGGGCAACTCCAGCTAGACTAGAAGGTCGAACCTTTCAATTATCAGCCAAATGTGTAGACAGCTTGCACTACCCAGGCCTCCTTCCTCGCATTGATGATTTCCTTTTGCTGAGTCCCGCCATCGCCTCCTAATGACCTGGGTTCTGACAGCAGCAAGCATAGGAGCTATTCAGGCCAACACACAAGTATCCAGGCTGTCGGCTCGTTCCATTTATCAGTAAAGGTTAGGAAGGGAGATCGAGGTCTACTGACCCAGCT